AAAAAAGTACTTCTGCGTGGCAGTCGTGGCCGAGTGGTTAAGGCGATGGACTCGAAATCCATTGGGGTTTCCCCGCGTAGGTTCGAATCCTACCGTCTGCGACATTTTCAACATGTTTTTATACAAGCAATTACTTTTAAACTTGTTAATGAAGAAAAAATGGTAGGTAAATTTTTCTACTTATTTTTATCATAAATTGTAGAAATACTTGATAAATCAATTTCAAGTAAGAGCTTAAATTGAATTGACGAGCAGGAGCAGTCGTGGCCGAGTGGTTAAGGCGATGGACTAGAAATCCATTGGGGTCTCCCCGCGTAGGTTCGAATCCTACCGACTGCGGACGTAACTTTTGAATTCTTTAATCGCATCGACAGAAATGACTTAACACATTTATCCAAACATTACTATATTATCTGATTTGTTTCAGGTATTCGTGCACATTCCGAATTAAAATATATGCGCTAAATGTAAATCTTTAATATTTACATTTTCATGTCGCATTGGCCATACAAATCTCTAATGTCGAACATATCTTTTATACAAGCTTCATTTTCATAGGAAGTGACAACACATTTTGCACAAGTAAAAAGAAATAAGTTCAATCAACTTAAATCGGAACCACGTTCGGTCTCTTCCCTTCCGCTTTTCTGAAATTTTCTAAAAGGTTTACGCAAAAGAGTCTAGAACTAATTAAATGAAAGGTAATACACAGGTCAATTGAAACTTTCTCTAAAAGGTTCAATTTTATAAATAAATGAAAGTTAAGATGGAGAATATCGCTCTTGTTAATTAATGGACATTGAATAAGCGATCACGATTACGATTCACACTCTTCCTGTAAATCTATAATTAATGTCATGTAAAATATCAGATTCTGCATGAAATACATCCTTAAGTAAAGTATTTTCATTTTATTAAATTTAAGCTAATAATATTATACCAGTCAATGACTTTCATTTTATGAATATACATGTCTAGAAATTGTGTTTCCTCCAACGCTGATCCTATAAGCAGCAAGAGATTCGCGTATGAGGAATAAATTAGTCTGAAAGGCAGCGAAGTGACGAGGACGGCACCTTATCGAATGCCCCCTTCAAACCCCTTCAAAACCAAAAGGAATAAAACAGTCACGAGGGCAGTTCATATTGCATCCTTAAGGTTGTAAGTTGCAAGTCTTTTTGACATCCGGTCTCGAATAAATGACTCTTTATTTGGAACACTGACCAAGGAATCCAATCGTGACAAAGAGATTTACGCAAGCCTCTTCTGCGTTAACTCTAAGCTAATTAAAATTGGATGCATAGATCTAGAATTATAATAAAAACATTAAGAACTAGGCTAGCAATTTAATTAAAAGAACCAAGTTTAAAATTCTTAATTTAAGAAATAAAATCTTCCACAAAAGAATTATATACTGAAGGTAATATTGTTATATTTTATTTAAAATAGTCTAGAATAAAATGGAATTTAAAAGAAAGTGATGTAAAAATACTTCTGCGTGGCAGTCGTGGCCGAGAGTGGTTAAGGCTGGACTTGAAATCCATTGGGGTTCCCGCGTAGTTTCGAACCTGGCTGGACAAACTTATTCCTAAACCTATTTTGAGGATTCGATGGAGAATCGAAAAGGGTGATAATAATTCTCCGTCTCAAAATATTTTTAAAAATTAAGCCTCCAGAATTCTTTGAATAAAAATGTAAGTTATGGTCTGTAGCTTATTCATTATTATCCAAGCAGCTGGCCGAGTCAGAGGCGATGGACAGGAAATCCATTGGTCTCCCGCGTAGGTTCGAATCTACCGACTGTCGGACGTACTTTTGAATTCTTAATCAGCATCGAGAAATTAATATAGTAATATTTGATAAATTGTTATCTGATTTGTTTCAGGTATTTGTGCACATTCCATAAAAATATATGCGCTAAATGTAAATCTAATATTTACATTTTCATGTCGCATTAGCCATACAAATCTCTAATGTCGAACATATCTTTTATACAAGCTTCATTTTCATAGGAAGTGACACACATTTTGCACAAAAAAAATAAGTTCAATCCTTAAATCGGAACCACGTTCGGTCTCCCTTCCCTTTTCTGAAATTTTCTAAAAGGTTTACGCAAAAGAGTCTAGAACTAATTAAATGAAGATAATACACGGTCAATTGAAACTTTCTAAAGGTTCAATTTTATAAATAAATGAAAGTTAAGATGGAGAATATCGCTCTTGTTAATTAATGGACATTGAATAACGTCACGATTACGATTCACACTCTTCCTGTAAATCTATAATTAATGTCATTAAATATCAGATTCTGCATGAAATACATCCTTAAGTAAAGTATTTTCATTTTATTAAATTTAAGCTAATAATATTATACCAGTCAATGACTTTCATTTTATGAATATACATGTCTAGAAATTGTGTTTCCTCAACGCTGATCCTATAAGCAGCAAGAGATTCATGAGGAATAAATTAGTCTCAAAGGCAGCAGTGACGAGGACGGCACCTTATCGAATGCCCCCTTCAAACCCCTTCAAAACCAAAAGGAATAAAACAGTCACGAGGGCAGTTCATATTGCATCCTTAAGGTTGTAAGTTAAGTCTTTTGACATCCGGTCTCGAATAAATGACTCTTTATTTGGAACACTGACCAAGGAATCAATCGACAAAGAGATTTACGAACTTCTGCGTTAACTCTAAGCTAATTAAAATTGATGCATAGATCTAGAATTATAATAAAAACATTAAGAACTAGGCTAGCAATTTAATTAAAAGAACCAAGTTTAAAATTCTTAATTTAAGAAATAAAATCTTCCACAAAAGAATTATATACTGAAGGTAATATTGTTATATTTTATTTAAAATAGTCTAGAATAAAATGGAATTTAAAAGAAAGTGATGTAAAAAGTACTTCTGCGTGGCAGTCGTGGCCGAGTGGTTAAGGCGATGGACTTGAAATCCATTGGGGTTTCCCCGCCGCGTAGGTTCGAATCCTACCGGCTGCGGACAAAACTTATCTCCTAAACCTATTTTGAGGATTCGATGGAGAATCGAAAAGGGTTGATAATAATTCTCCGT